TGAGGAGGGTGGGGTGTAGAGTGAGGAGGGTGGGGAGGATGGGATGTAGAGTGAGGAGGGTGGGGAGGGTGGGATGTAGAGTGAGGAGGGTGGGGAGGGTGGGATGTAGAGTGAGGAGGGTGGGGAGGGTGGGATGTAGAGTGAGGAGGGTGGGGAGGGTGGGATGTAGAGTGAGGAGGGTGGGGAGGGTGGGGTGTAGAGTGAGGAGGGTGGGGTGTAGAGTGAAGAGGGTGGGGAGGGTGGGATGTAGAGTGAGGAGGGTGGGGTGTAGAGTGAGGAGGGTGGGGAGGGTGGGATGTAGAGTGAGGAGGATGGGGTGTAGAGTGAGGAGGGTGGGGAGGGTGGGGTGTAGAGTGAGGAGGGTGGGGAGGGTGGGGTGTAGAGTGAGGAGGGTGGGGAGGATGGGATGTAGAGTGAGGAGGGTGGGGAGGGTGGGATGTAGAGTGAGGAGGGTGGGGAGGGTGGGGTGTAGAGTGAGGAGGGTGGGGTGTAGAGTGAGGAGGGTGGGATGTAGAGTGAGGAGGGTGGGATGTAGAGTGAGGAGGGTGGGGTGTAGAGTGAGGAGGGTGGGGAGGATGGGATGTAGAGTGAGGAGGGTGGGGAGGGTGGGATGTAGAGTGAGGAGGGTGGGATGTAGGGTGAGGAGGGTGGGGAGGGTGGGATGTAGAGTGAGGAGGGTGGGGAGGGTGGGATGTAGAGTGAGGAGGGTGGGGAGGATGGGATGTAGAGTGAGGAGGGTGGGGAGGGTGGGATGTAGAGTGAGGAGGGTGGGGAGGGTGGGATGTAGAGTGAGGAGGGTGGGGAGGATGGGATGTAGAGTGAGGAGGGTGGGGAGGGTGGGATGTAGAGTGAGGAGGGTGGGGAGGGTGGGATGTAGAGTGAGGAGGGTGGGGAGGGTGGGATGTAGAGTGAGGAGGGTGGGGTGTAGAGTGAGGAGGGTGGGGAGGGTGGGATGTAGAGTGAGGAGGGTGGGGTGTAGAGTGAGGAGGGTGGGGAGGGTGGGATGTAGAGTGAGGAGGATGGGGTGTAGAGTGAGGAGGGTGGGGAGGGTGGGGTGTAGAGTGAGGAGGGTGGGGAGGGTGGGGTGTAGAGTGAGGAGGGTGGGGAGGGTGGGGTGTAGAGTGAGGAGGGTGGGGAGGATGGGATGTAGAGTGAGGAGGGTGGGGAGGGTGGGATGTAGAGTTAGGAGGGTGGGGAGGGTGGGATGTAGAGTGAGGAGGGTGGGGAGGGTGGGGTGTAGAGTGAGGAGGGTGGGGAGGGTGGGATGTAGAGTGAGGAGGGTGGGGAGGGTGGGGTGTAGAGTGAGGAGGGTGGGAAGGGTGGGATGTAGAGTGAGGAGGGTGGGGAGGATGGGATGTAGAGTGAGGAGGGTGGGGAGGGTGGGATGTAGAGTGAGGAGGGTGGGGAGGGTGGGATGTAGAGTGAGGAGGGTGGGGAGGGTGGGATGTAGAGTGAGGAGGGTGGGGTGTAGAGTGAGGAGGGTGGGGAGGATGGGATGTAGAGTGAGGAGGGTGGGGAGGGTGGGATGTAGAGTGAGGAGGGTGGGGAGGATGGGATGTAGAGTGAGGAGGGTGGGGTGTAGAGTGAGGAGGATGGGGAGGGTGGGATGTAGAGTGAGGAGGGTGGGGAGGATGGGGTGTAGAGTGGGGAGGATGGGATGTAGAGTGAGGAGGGTGGGGAGGGTGGGGTGTAGAGTGAGGAGGGTGGGGAGGGTGGGGTGTAGAGTGAGGAGGGTGGGGAGGATGGGATGTAGAGTGAGGAGGGTGGGGAGGGTGGGATGTAGAGTGAGGAGGGTGGGGAGGGTGGGATGTAGAGTGAGGAGGGTGGGGAGGGTGGGATGTAGAGTGAGGAGGGTGGGGAGGGTGGGATGTAGAGTGAGGAGGGTGGGGAGGGTGGGATGTAGAGTGAGGAGGGTGGGGAGGATGGGATGTAGAGTGAGGAGGATGGGGTGTAGAGTGAGGAGGGTGGGGAGGGTGGGATGTAGAGTGAGGAGGGTGGGGTGTAGAGTGAGGAGGGTGGGGAGGATGGGATGTAGAGTGAGGAGGGTGGGGAGGGTGGGATGTAGAGTGAGGAGGGTGGGGAGGGTGGGGTGTAGAGTGAGGAGGATGGGGTGTAGAGTGAGGAGGATGGGGTGTAGAGTGAGGAGGGTGGGGAGGATGGGATGTAGAGTGAGGAGGGTGGGGAGGGGGGGATGTAGAGTGAGGAGGATGGGGTGTAGAGTGAGGAGGGTGGGGAGGGTGGGATGTAGAGTGAGGAGGGTGGGGTGTAGAGTGAGGAGGGTGGGGAGGATGGGATGTAGAGTGAGGAGGGTGGGGAGGGTGGGATGTAGAGTGAGGAGGGTGGGGAGGGTGGGGTGTAGAGTGAGGAGGGTGGGGAGGGTGGGATGTAGAGTGAGGAGGGTGGGGTGTAGAGTGAGGAGGGTGGGGAGGGTGGGATGTAGAGTGAGGAGGGTGGGGAGGGTGGGATGTAGAGTGAGGAGGGTGGGGAGGGTGGGGTGTAGAGTGAGGAGGGTGGGGAGGGTGGGATGTAGAGTGAGGAGGGTGGGGTGTAGAGTGAGGAGGGTGGGGAGGATGGGATGTAGAGTGAGGAGGGTGGGGAGGGTGGGATGTAGAGTGAGGAGGGTGGGGAGGGTGGGGTGTAGAGTGAGGAGGATGGGGTGTAGAGTGAGGAGGGTGGGGTGTAGAGTGAGGAGGATGGGGTGTAGAGTGAGGAGGGTGGGGAGGATGGGATGTAGAGTGAGGAGGGTGGGGAGGGGGGGATGTAGAGTGAGGAGGATGGGGTGTAGAGTGAGGAGGGTGGGGAGGGTGGGATGTAGAGTGAGGAGGGTGGGGTGTAGAGTGAGGAGGGTGGGAGGGTGGGATGTAGAGTGAGGAGGGTGGGGAGGGTGGGATGTAGAGTGAGGAGGGTGGGATGTAGAGTGAGGAGGGTGGGGAGGGTGGGATGTAGAGTGAGGAGGGTGGGGTGTAGAGTGAGGAGGGTGGGGAGGGTGGGATGTAGAGTGAGGAGGGTGGGGAGGGGGGGATGTAGAGTGAGGAGGGTGGGGTGTAGAGTGAGGAGGGTGGGGTGTAGAGTGAGGAGGGTGGGGAGGGTGGGATGTAGAGTGAGGAGGGTGGGGAGGGTGGGATGTAGAGTGAGGAGGGTGGGGTGTAGAGTGAGGAGGGTGGGGAGGGTGGGATGTAGAGTGAGGAGGGTGGGGAGGGGGGGATGTAGAGTGAGGAGGGTGGGGTGTAGAGTGAGGAGGGTGGGGAGGGTGGGATGTAGAGTGAGGAGGGTGGGGAGGATGGGATGTAGAGTGAGGAGGATGGGGTGTAGAGTGAGGAGGGTGGGGTGTAGAGTGAGGAGGGTGGGGAGGGTGGGATGTAGAGTGAGGAGGGTGGGGTGTAGAGTGAGGAGGGTGGGGAGGATGGGATGTAGAGTGAGGAGGGTGGGGAGGGTGGGATGTAGAGTGAGGAGGGTGGGGAGGGTGGGATGTAGAGTGAGGAGGGTGGGGAGGGTGGGATGTAGAGTGAGGAGGGTGGGGTGTAGAGTGAGGAGGGTGGGGAGGGTGGGATGTAGAGTGAGGAGGGTGGGGAGGGGGGGATGTAGAGTGAGGAGGGTGGGGTGTAGAGTGAGGAGGGTGGGGTGTAGAGTGAGGAGGGTGGGGAGGGTGGGATGTAGAGTGAGGAGGGTGGGGAGGGTGGGATGTAGAGTGAGGAGGGTGGGGTGTAGAGTGAGGAGGGTGGGGAGGGTGGGATGTAGAGTGAGGAGGGTGGGGAGGGGGGGATGTAGAGTGAGGAGGGTGGGGTGTAGAGTGAGGAGGGTGGGGAGGGTGGGATGTAGAGTGAGGAGGGTGGGGAGGATGGGATGTAGAGTGAGGAGGATGGGGTGTAGAGTGAGGAGGGTGGGGTGTAGAGTGAGGAGGGTGGGGAGGGTGGGATGTAGAGTGAGGAGGGTGGGGTGTAGAGTGAGGAGGGTGGGGAGGATGGGATGTAGAGTGAGGAGGGTGGGGAGGGTGGGATGTAGAGTGAGGAGGGTGGGGAGGGTGGGATGTAGAGTGAGGAGGGTGGGGAGGGTGGGGTGTAGAGTGAGGAGGGTGGGGTGTAGAGTGAGGAGGGTGGGGAGGGTGGGATGTAGAGTGAGGAGGGTGGGGAGGGTGGGGTGTAGAGTGAGGAGGGTGGGGAGGGTGGGATGTAGAGTGAGGAGGGTGGGATGTAGAGTGAGGAGGGTGGGGAGGGTGGGATGTGGAGTGAGGAAGGTGGGGAGGGTGGGGTGTAGAAAGAGGAGGGTGGGGAGGGTGGGGTGTAGAAAGAGGAGGGTGGGGAGGGTGGGGTGTAGAAAGAGGAGGGTGGGGAGGGTGGGATGTGGAGTGAGGAAGGTGGGGAGGGTGGGGTGTAGACTGAGGAGGTTGGGGAGGGTGGGGTGTAGAGTGAGGAGGGTTGGGTGTAGAGTGATGAGGGTGGGGAGGATGGGGTGTAGAGTGAGGAGGGTGGGGTGTAGAGTGAGGATGGTGGGGATTGTAGTAGCAGATGGGAGTAGAGTGAGGAGGGTTGGGAGGGTTGGGGTAGAGTGAAGAGGTTGGGGTATAGAGTGAGGAGGGTGGGGTGTAGAGTGAAGAGGGTGGGGATGGTAGTAGCAGGTGAGAGTAGAGTGAGGAGGTTGGTGAGGGTGGGGTGTAGAGTGGGAAGGGTGGAGGGTGGGAGCATGGTGGAGGCTGGGGAGGGTGGGGAGCATGATGGAGGGTGGGGAGCATGGTGGAGATAGGGGAGGATGGTGGAGGTAGGGGAGGATGGTGGAGGTAGGGGAGGATGGTGGAGGTAGGGGAGCATGATGGAGGGTGGGGAGCATGGTGGAGATAGGGGAGGATGGTGGAGGCTGGGGTGGGTTGGGAGGCTGGGGTGGATGGTGGAGGGGGAGGGGGGTCAGAGGGAGGGTGGGAGGAAGATGTCGAGGATGGGGTGGGTTGTTTAGTTTGGTGGAGGTTGCAGAGGGTGGTGGCAGGTAGTGTGTCAACTGCATCTCACCTCCTGCTTCTGCTTGGCCTGATGGACCACCTCCAGGAACTGCTTGATCTGGTCCAGGGTCGGGGCTGTGAAGTCGTGGATGCTGATTCTTACAACTCTCAGATCTGCAAGTAAACATTGTACTTGAGTGAACCTTGTATTCAGTAATTGGTTAGTATTGGTGTGTAGGCACTAATATGAAACATTTCCTCACTTTATCGACATGAACAAACATGAATCCAACTGAATGCTGACACAATGTTGAATGCTAGCCGGCTTTAAAATGTTACTCTGAATACCTGCTAAGTAGTTATGTACAGGAGAGAACACGCCTCCGAGGTTTTGGCTGGAAATGTAAACATGAAGAAGGGGGAAATCCTGAAGGGTCCTCAGGATCCCCCCCCAATAATAAAGTTTAAAGTTGAATTTACATCATAAAGAGACAGTTGTAAAGCCTGTTCAAGTATATTACTGTTGGCGAAAGCAGTTGGTGCATGAGAAGTTTGTGCTTGTGTCTTGGTTTTATACCATGTGGCTGGTTAGAACTTTCAAGAATGCTGATTGTGATGACAACCAAAACCAAGGAGGACTGTTTTTTCCAACTTATGAACTGTCTAAATGCAAGAAATACCAGAAAAAATAAAAAACCATTGGGATTCCTATTAGTGAAACAATACAGTACCGTGGTGTATAGGGAATTTTATCAAAGCATGCGAGAGAAAAACCATGTGCATGCAGCACAAACTGAAGTCATGACAAATAAAATTGAACAACTTTTCATCACCTGGCCTGGTGGCTCAGTGGGAAAACAGTGAGTTACAAAACTAAACAGGATATGTGAGGTTGCAGCCTTGATTCCTGTCATCCATAATGAAAACTTTCATTTCTTGTCTTTGATTTTCGAACATTGGACGTTTGAAACACCAAGTACAAATTTTATCTACTAAACTCATCAGGTCTTACTTGGAGAAAGTAAAACCTCATACCGGGTCTCACCAGCAAAAACTAAAACCCCATAGCTCGGATGAGGTCTTACCTGGAAAAAGTAAAACCTCCCAAGAGGCTTATTATTACGAAATACAAAGATACCTACAATACAATAGGCAAAAGTGGCCATAGGTTTATAAACAATATTATAAACCTATCACCGTGTTACCCTTTATTGCCTTAGGTTCCTGACAACCTCTGGTAACCCTAGTAACCAGCTCATCTTCCAAACCTTGGTTTGGAAGTGGTACTCTTTCCAAACCTAGGTTTTGAAATGGGTCACTTCTAAACCTGCTGTGAGGTTTGTGTTTCAATTGTAATACCTAGGTTTTACAGTTATTTTTCTGGTATTTCTTGCATTTAGACGGTCAATAAGTTGGATAAAACATGCCACCAAGGTTTTGTAGAATGTAAAACTGGGAACGAGGGAAAAGCCAGAGGGCTTTTCCCGAGCTTGAAGGTCATATATTTTCAACCAAAACCTTGGAGGCATGTTTTATCCTATACATATGGCGCTGAAAACTGGGCCTCCAATTGACTAACCTGGGAAGCTGTGTGTGGGCGTGACCCTGTCCTGGGTGAGGTTGACCAAGTGGTGGACATTGCGCTCCAGCAGGTACTGTATCTGCTGGGGGCGGTCAGGGAAGGCGAGGCCACATAGCAGTCCCTCCTCCACCCAGGAGAAGCTCCTCGGAACTTGGGATACCATACCTTTCTGGAAATAACATGCAAATTAATATACTGTCAGACTTGGTATTTTACTACCTAGTACTTAAACGGATACGCTAGGAATTAATGATACTTTAAAATTAAACAATGAAATATACAGAAATTATCACGCAGAATAAACCAATACCTGTCATGTGCACATTAAATATAATGTGTCACAAGGTCAATGCTAAGTCAGTTGGACTTCACGTTTGTTTAAGAGTCTGCCTGGTCCATACATTGTCATACCATTCCAAAATGCAGTCAGATGTCCCAAATAGTGACACAATTTTGGCCAAAACCAGCTGTCTTAACATGGAGAAAAGACCCCAAGGTGCAGAGCTCTACAAGTACAGATGTGGAAACTGATCTAGCATCCTCACTAAATTGATTTCATAGTTTTATCTCCAAAGTTGCCTCCACTTGCAAAAGTTCTCAGCTACATTCTGTTAGACAAAGTTGGTTGGTTGGTTTGTTGTTTAATGCCGCACTCAGCAATATTCCAGCTATATAACGGCTGTCTGTAAATAATCAAGTCTGGACCAGAGAATCCTGTGATTGATATACATGTACTAGCCTGTCCCACCCTGTACATATGATATACCCTACATGTACTAGCCTGTCCCACCCTGTACCTAAGATATACCCTACACATACTAGTCTGTACCACCCTGTACCTAAGATATACCCTACACATACTAGTGTGTGCCATCCTGTACCTAAGATATACCCTACACATACTAGTCTGTACCACCCTGTACCTAAGATATACCCTACACATACTAGTCTGTACCACCCTGTACCTAAGATATACCCTACACATACTAGTCTGTGCCACCCTGTACCTAAGATATACCCTACACATACTAGTCTGTACCACCCTGTACCTAAGATATACCCTACACATACTAGTCTGTACCACCCTGTACCTAAGATATACCCTACATGTACTAGCCTGTACCACCCTGAACCTAAGATATACCCTACATGTACTCTCCTGTCCCAACCTGTACCTAACATATAGCCTACATATACTAGCCTGTCCCACCCTGTACCTAAGATATACCCTACACATACCAGCCTGTACCACCCTGTACCTAAGATATACCCTACACTTACTAGTCTGTACCACCCTGTACCTAAGATATACCCTACACATACTAGTCTGTGCCACCCTGAACCTAAGATATACCCTACACATACTAGTCTGTACCACCCTGAACCTAAGATATACCCTATACATACTAGCCTGTCCCACCCTGTACCTAACATATAGCCTACATATACTAGCCTGTCCCACCCTGTACCTAAGATATACCCTACACATACTAGTCTGTACCACCCTGTACCTAAGATATACCCTACACATACTAGTCTGTGCCACCCTGAACCTAAGATATACCCTACACATACTAGTCTGTACCACCCTGAACCTAAGATATACCCTATACATACTAGCCTGTCCCACCCTGTACCTAAGATATACCCTACACATACTAGTCTGTGCCACCCTGAACCTAAGATATACCCTACACATACTAGCCTGTACCACCCTGAACCTAAGATATACCCCACATGTACTAGCCTGTACCACCCTGAACCTAAGATATACCCTATGCATACTAGTCTGTACCACCCTGTACCTAAGATATACCCTATACATACTAGCCTGTCCCACCCTGTACCTAAGATATACCCTATACATACTAGTCTGTACCACCCTGAACCTAAGATATACCCTATACATACTAGTCTGTGCCACCCTGAACCTAAGATATACCCTACACATACTAGTCTGTACCACCCTGAACCTAAGATATACCCTATACATACTAGCCTGTCCCACCCTGTACATAAGATATACCCTACATGTACTAGCCTGTCCCATCCTGTACCTAAGATATACCCTACATGTACTAGCCTGTCCCACCCTGTACCTAAGATATACCCTACATGTACTAGCCTGTCCCAACCTGTACCTAAGATATACCCTACATGTACTAGCCTGTCCCACCCTGTACATAAGATATACCCTATATGTACTAGCCTGTCCCAACCTGTACATAAGATATACCCTACACGTACTAGCCTCTCCCACCTAGACTTACATATAGTCTCTGAAATGAACATATCGTACAGAAAAAACAGTTGTTCAATTATCTTAATAAAAATATAATAAAAAGGGAGCCCAGTGATTCTCTTCATTTTCAGACGCTGATACTGCAGTAATCTAGACTTGCCAAACATTATAGACTTGCATGGGCTGTAGTTGATATATTTGTATCAGGGTCTGTAAGACAGACTAGTCCCACCTAGACTAACATATAGTCTCTGAAATGAACATCTCGTACAGAAAAACCAGTTGTTCAGTTATCTTAATAAAAAATATAATAAAAAGGGAGCCCAGTGATTCTCTTCATTTTCAGACCCTGATACTGCAGTAATCTAGACTTGCCAAACATTATAGACTTGCATGGGCTGTAGTTGATATATTTGTATCAGGGTCTGTATGACAGACTATGTCCCACCCTGTACCTAAGATATACCCTACATGTACTAGCCTGTCCCACCCTGTACATAAGATATACCCTATACATACTAGCCTGTCCCACCCTGTACATAAGATATACCCTATACATACTAGCCTGTCCCACCCTGTACATAAGATATTCCCTACATGTACTAGCCTGTCCCACCCTGTACCTAAGATATACCCTACATATACTAGCCTGTCCCACCCTGTACATAAGATATACCCTTCATATACTAGCCTGTCCCACCCTGTACCTAAGATATACCCTACATATACTAGCCTGTCCCACCCTGTACATAAGATATACCCTTCATATACTAGCCTGTCCCACCCTGTACATAAGATATACCCTTCATATACTAGCCTGTCCCACCTTGTACATAAGATATACCCTTCATATACTAGCCTGTCCCACCTTGTACATAAGATATACCCTACATGTACTAGCCTGTCTCAACCTATACAGACATAACACACTACATACAGTAGCCTGTCCCCCCCTGTACCTAGGATATTGATCTGCACAGTACACCGTATTGATCTGCACAGTCCTGTACATCAGCTATATAGATACAGACAGCCTTCCACAATTTCCCTACCTTTCGTGGACCCCCGTTGCTGTACCTAGGTGGAGTGAGACTCCACTACTTGCTGCTGGTGGACTGACAATACACACAGAATTCATCAAACTATGACTCTTGGCTCACCTCATCAGCAGCCAGTCTGCATCCGGCTGGACTGACATACTAAACAGTTTCGGAATGTATAATAGATACAGAATTAATATCATCTATTTATGGCTCTCAGCTCACCTTGTCAGCTGTCAATCAACAAGCAAGTACAGCTGGCATTGGTAGAACTACATTTAAATCACTCCATGTTGTTATAGTGCGTATCACCTGGCGGGGTTTATATCAAAGGTACACTCTTTTTCAAAGCAAGTAGGTTGGTTCTTGCATGTCATGCTTCATAGGTTGCCTATATATACAGACGACAGACATGATGAAATATTTCTCAGAACAGAAAAAAAGAGGCAGTAACTGTATTGTACTCATGTAAAGAATGTATCATCAGTAATGAGGCTGTGTTGATGCTTTTACTGTTTACAGGTAGTAGTTACCCGACCACTACACCCCAACGGCCCTACCCTTTCCCCGACCACTACACCCCAATGCCCCTACCCTTTCCCCGACCACTACACCCCAATGCCCCTACCCTTTCCCCGACCACTACACCCCAATGCCCCTACCCTTTCCCCGACCACTACACCCCAATGCCCCTACCCTTTCCCCAACCACTACACCCAAACACCCCTACCCTTCCCCCAACCACTACACCCCAACACCCCTACCCTTTCCCCAACCACTACACCCCAACACCCCTACCCTTCCCCCAACCACTACACCTCAACACCCCTACCCTTCCCCCAACCCTACACCACCCAACGCCCCTACCCTACACCACCCACTACACCCCAATGCCCCTACCCTACCCCACCCACCGCCCCTACCCTACCCCCTTCCCTACACCACCCAACGCCCCTACCCTACACCACCCACTACACCCCACCGCCCCTACCCTACACCACCCACTACACCTACCCTACACCACCCACTGCCCCTACCCTATCCTACACAACCCACCGCCCCTACCGTATACTACCCTACCCTACAGCACCCACCGCCCCTACCCTTCCCTACACAACCCACCGCTCCTACACCATACTACCCTATCCTACACCACCCGCCACCCCTACCCTACCCTACACCACCCACCGCTCCTACCCTACCCTACACAACCCACCGCCCCTACTGTATACTACCCTACCCTACACCCCCCAACGCCCCTACCCTACCCTCCACTACCCACCTCCCCTACCATACCCTACACAACCCACCTCCCCTACCCTACCCTACACAACCCACCGCCCCTACCGTATACTACCCAACACTCCACCACCCACTGCCCCTACTCTACCCTACACCACCCACCTCCCCTACCATACCCTACACAACCCGAAGCCCCTCCCCTACACCACCCACTGCCCCTACTCTACCCTACACCACCCACCTCCCCTACCATACCCTACACCACCCACCGCCCCTACCCCAACCCTACACCACCCACTGCCCCTACCCCAACCCTACACCACCCACTGCCCCTACCATACACTACACCACCCACCGCCCCTACCCCAACCCTACACCACCCACCTCCCCTACCATACCCTACACCACCCACCTCCCCTATCCCAACCTTACACCACCCACTGCCCCTACCCCAACCCTACACCACCCACTGCCCCTACCATACCCTACACCACCCACTGCCCCTACCCCAACCCTACACCACCCACTGCCCCTACCCTACCCTACACCACCCACCACCCCTACCCCAACCCTACACCACCCACTGCCCCTACCCCAACCCTACACCACCCACTGCCCCTACCATAGCCTACACCACCCACTGCCCCTACCCTACCCTACACCACCCCTACCCTACCCTACACCACCCACTGCCCCTACCATACCCTACACCACCCACCGCCCCTACCCCAACCCTACACCACCCACTGCCCCTACCCCAACCCTACACCACCCACTGCCCCTACCATACCCTACACCACCCACCTCCCCTACCCCAACCCTACACCACCCACTGCCCCTACCATACCCTACACCACCCACCTCCCCTACCCCAACCCTACACCACCCACCTCCCCTACCATACCCTACACCACCCACTGCCCCTACCCCAACCCTACACCACCCACTGCCCCTACCATACCCTACACCACCCACTGCCCCTACCCCAACCCTATACCACCCACTGCCCCTACCCTACCCTACACCACCCACCTCCCTACCCTACCCTACACCACCCACAACCCCTATCCAACACCACCCACCGCCCCTACCAAAACCCTACACCACCCACTGCCCCTACCATACGCTACACCACCCACCGCCCCTAAAATACGCTACACCACCCACCGCCCCTACCCCATACTACCCTATCCTACACCACCCAACGCCCCTATCTTACCCTACCTACCCTACACCACCTCCTACCCTATACTACCCCTACCACCCCTATCCAGTCCCACTGTAAATACCTGTATATGTTGCCACTGTGATGTGGAGGGCGGTGGTTGAGCAGGGCACTGTAGGGCGGTGTGAGAAGCCAGCTCAGGGTGGGCCTGCGGGCGTGGCAAGCCTTGTCCATCAGCTGTCTGGGGAGGGGAGTTTGGCAACTGGCAACTGTGGCCCTGACTTGAAGCAGTAGGTTGGGGACGTTGTTTCTCTCCATCTCTGGGCTGGTGTTTGAAGGGTGCGGGATGTGTGGGTCTCTGGGTGTGAGGGGTAGGGTGGGGCAGGGGTGGTGTGGAGGTGGTAGGGGTGGGATATGAAGCCCATCCACCCTGTACCCTAGATCTCTGACGTCGGCGCCTCACAGCATTGTCACTGTTCTGCATCTAAAATTGATATATATAGACATGCTGTTTTGGTATTATGAAACATAAAATAGTACAGCATGAAGAATAAGACATTGTTTGATAGATAATATATACCCATTTTCCCTAAACTAAAGTGAAACATCCATTGCAAGAGCCCATGCCATGGACACAAATAACATGCTGGAACTTGGTAACAAATGTTGTTTTGTTGTTTGTTGGTTAATGCCGCACTCAGCAATATTTCAGCTATATGACATCGGCCTGTAAATAATCAAGTCTGGATCAGACAATCCAGTGACTGACATCATGAGCATTGATCCACGCAATTGGGATTGATGACATACATCAACCAAGCCAGCCTGACCACCGGAGGGGCGGTCGGGTAGCCTAGTGGTTAAAGCGTTCACTCGTCACGCCAAAGACCCGGGTTCGATTCCCGACATCAGTGCAATGTGTGAAGCCCATTTCTGGTGTCCACTCCGTGATATTGCTGGAATATTGCTAAAAGCAGCGTAAAACCATACTCACTCACTCACTGACCACCCGATCCCGTTACCATTGTCACCAGAAGATCACCCCTTTGGAATACCTTATTCTCCTTGGATAAATGAAGTATCAGGATAAATGAAATATTAGGATAAATGAAATATCAGGATAAATGAAATATCAGGATAAACAACACATTCCGACACAGAAATATAATCAGCAGAAAACATTCATCAATTATGATATATGAAAAACGGATTCTTACAAAGTTTGATTTATTTCTACTAGCCTAAGAGAGCGTTCAAGAGATATTTTACCGCCGCTTCATCAACCCACACACTAACTATCAATCATATCGAAATATACAATATAAGTCAGATTGTTTAAAGTTAAATCCATCGCTGAAAAAATCACAGTTTAGCTAGTCATAAACTCAACATAACAAGATATACATGGCACAAAACACAACCAACCCTTCAAAACACAAACCGATAGGCATACTATTATTACACAACGTAGTGATATCAAATCTGTCAGTAAATAAAAAAGGGGAAGTAACTTTCTTTTTGTATTGAAGTTGAATACCGCTAAAACGCACATGTACTTTTGAGGTAAATGGACGTAAACATTAATATAGTTGAGGGGGTGGGGGTAGAGGGGGCTTTTTATAGGACAGTCTCGTGTTTTGCCGACTAACCCGCTTAATGTACCGTTACTTTACGCCCCCAACCTTATACATGTACCATTTCTTCATGACCCCCTTCCTATAATAAATAACATGAATACATCTTGCAGTAGATAAATATGTTAGAAATACATACATAATCTTTTCTCGTTTAGTTTGTATATACACACGTGTTTATTTTCTTGTATTGTAGTAAAAAAGCAAGATTCACCGACTACAACAGTATAGTCACTGATCATATTTTCTAGAAATATTGCTAGATATCCGATTATAGTATTGGCTCAAGCAGGAATATACATATTTTTTAAATAATTCTCTATCTATTAAACTGTACGATTAAAAATTGTGCGTTCTGACGTGGGCTATGTAGTTATCTGCTACATTTTTTACACAGACAATGAGTCAGTCACACACACAAACACACACATACATACATAATTTTGACAAAACTATACTTAAGATATACATAAAATATTACAATGATAGCTGATTTAACATATGTTATAGATAATCATTGTAATGCACTTCATATTGTTATCAACATTAACTATGTGGCCACACTAATTTGTATGTCTCTCCATATGTGTAGTTTACACAAGTACTCATATCAACTGTGACAACGCCACAGCGATGGGGGCAGTCGGGTAGCCTGGTGGTTAAAGGTTCGATCGTCAAGCCGAAGACACAGTTTGATTCCTTACATGGGTACACTGTGTGAAGCCCATATCTGGTGTTCCCCGTGATATTACTGGATTATTGTTGAAAGCGACGTAAAACCATTCTCACTCACTCACAGCGGTGTTTATCAAATTACTATATGCATGTACATTTACTTGTAGCTTTGCACACGACAAGAGACACAATTCAAGTTGATCATACGTCAAATGTCAAAAAGAATATTTACGGACAATAGTACGACACAGTGTAACATCATATACTACGGAAAACAAGTTATAAAACACCCACAATCATAAGATTGTATTTTACAATACAATCAGCCATGACTAATTAACCATAGTCTTCTTAACTTCTTTTGAAAAGTATATATTTAGATTTTAACCTGATTTATTTAGAGCGTATTGCAATGATCTGCCACGCGCTTTCGGCGTGATGGTCACATACAACTGAACAGTCAATCAATTACATTTTACGCAAACATCTGTGGATTGTTTCAAAATCACCTACGTCTGTACAGTTAAATTATGTTTTAAGTAGATAGTGAGAAAAGTTCAGCATTCCCTCCCAATTGCAGCAGACATCACATGCTGCCCCTATAGTGGTCAAAAGGGGATATCGCTTAACAACGAGAAAACGATAGAGCGAGAAAGCGAGAAAGCGATAGAGCGAGAAAGAGATGTCCCCTCTCGACCACCATAGTTTTGTCTTGTGCCATATGTTCCCGCATTTATTCAGATCAAAAGTTGTCTTGCCATTGCATGTGTTTGTAACGGGTGTCACCGATGGGGCAGGATACGCTGACCTTTTCGCTTATACCTATCACTATTGTTATAATTATTTACAGATTAGAATACAAAATGCAGCAAAGAGGGTTTGGGTGATCCTGGCACAGTCAGGCTGGTTAGGCTCATCATCAGCCCAGACAGCGAATGGGACTTCTGCCTAGCCAAACACACCCAGAACTTTTCGGAGAATGTGAAGACTCCCCAACACTGCAGCCTTCTACATTACCCAGATTGTCAGAATTCCTGGTAACAAACCCGGGTGCTCTCCCAATGTCAGTCAACAGATTGGGAGGTTCTAAATTTTAATCCTAAGGCACCGAGAACAATGAGTTGGACAACTTGGTACTTGGGATACAAGCGTGACATTTCGAAAGCCAGGTCCGCCTGTTTGCCATGTTTTTCCTGAATCTTGTCAATCACATTACTGTCAAAAGGGACAGAAAATTCAATGATATAAATGAGTTCACTGGATTTATCAAAAAGGACGAGATCAGGTTTGTTGGCCTGGATACGTCTAAGGCTGTAAACGGGCCTATTCCAAAGAATTTTGAATTCATCATTTTCCATGACGCCCTCTACATATTCCGGGGCATACCATGGATGGACCTCTGTGTCAAAACCACAAGCATTGCAAAGATGGTAATTAAAATGATCGAGCTACACCATCATGTCGTTTAAGATAATGTGGGGCATCCACTGACAATGTGTTGGACAGTCTCTTTAAATTCATTGCATTATCTACATTTCATATTTACATTTTGTTGCAAAATTACACATTGACGGTTTCAAGTGGGAAGTGACTGGTCCTGAGCAGCAAACAGAAACCCTTTGGTTTCACATTTCATGCCAGCTGACTTCATCAAAGTGAAGGACTCTGCAGGGTTCCTGTGGTCCTCAACACACTGCACATAAACTGGATGCAGTGGTCGTCCAGATGGCCTCTCCTTGAAAAACTGAGTCTGGGCCGATTTGATATGGTACTTCTCTTGGTTGACATTCATTTCTTACCGTCCAGCAGTACAGAACCATCAACACAATCAACACCGACATTGAGATTATGTCCCACATCCTCGTTTACGGAAACTGTGGAATGCCTTGTTTTCATCATGAGTCTTGACACGTTTCACAAGAGGACCATCAGACAAATATGTGCGTGCAAAAGTGCACACACAATTCTATCATGAGGAGCCCCAACGTTAATCAAACCACGCCCTCCCATTATGATTGGTAAATATAAGGGATTGAGGGAAGAGCGAGGGTGGTGGGATCTATTGTCTGACATGATTCTTCGTGTGAGGGGGTCAATACCCTGGATTTCTTCCTATTATTATACAGTCTTATGAATGGATTTCTTATGATTATTGATATGTGGTAGTATATATTGTGGCCTTATTCCTGATGAGTGTAAGTGGTAGCAAGTTGATTGAGGCGCTCGTACAATATCCAGCCTTGTTAGTGACCTTGTGGTTGTTTATAGTCTAAACTCTTTTCCATCGCTTGACACCGCTGTGAGGAGCGTGTTTACAGGATTGTTTCCAGTTATTTCCGGGATTGACTACATTGTTCTTTACGCTTTGGGCTAGCAGTTTCTTAAATCCAGGCTATACCTAATGGCTATATATATAACAGTAGACGAGAGTAACGCGAGGCCTTCCTTCATGCCGAGCAATATTCCAGCAGCTCCAGCCTTGGTGTTTACATTTCTCAGCTTTGAGAAACAATCGAGCATGCTCTTTCTACCAAGATTTCAAAGAGCGCCAAAAGGATCTTGCTCAGCAGTTGTTTGATCAAGGTTACAACATTCAAGGCCTCAGTAGAGCTTTCGAAAGGTTTTATGGTAGATATGTAGGGGACATTGCCAAATGTGAAGCCTCGGTGACAAAAATGATGTCCGATGCAATTCCTTAATTTGAGCAAATGTTCCTTTGTTTTTTTCCGTTGAACATTCGACTTGCCTTTGCATGTGGGGCAGGGTAAGCTCACCTATTCGCGAACGCCCGGTGTCATTTCTATTTGATAGTGATTTATAAACACCAGAAATGGGCTTCAGAATTTGTACCCATGTGGGTAAAGGAACCTAGGTCATCGGCGTGACAAGCGAACGTTTTAACCACTAGGCTATCCCGCCGCTCCCTTCAACGTTATGGACAAACATCTAAATTCGCCAAAGTTCAATGACACGTCACATTCATAGCGTGTATGCACAGAAAAAGACAGTCGTCTGATGACGTCACGTGAGATACGTCGATCGTCATTCTTCTTTGAGGGTCCGGATAACTTCTTGTCGGTTGGCTGGAGGATGTGGTCGTTTTCGAACACGACCACCCATGACATCCCAGGGGTGTTCAATTAGGGACATGTCAGGGGAGCGTGCGGGCCACGGCAACACGTTGACGTTGTTGGCTGCAAGGAACTTCTGTACGATATGGTCTGGCGTTGTCAAGCTGATAAAGGACACCACGTGGCAGCTGTTGTAGAAATGGTAGGACAATCGGACAAAGAATGTCTTACATGTAACGCTGAGCTGTCAAATTTCCGTCAACGATGACCAGCAGTGTTCTCTGCTGCCACAAATTCCTCCCTCCACCATACGGCACGACCCCCTAAACGCAACCTGCCGCCGTTCGTTCTCCCATTCGGCGGTAAACACGCTCTCTTCTATAAGCTCTGAACAGACAGAACCAGCTTTCATTAGTGAAGACGACCCTCAGCCAATCACGTACAGTCTGGGCCCATCTCAATCTCTAACGACGATGTTGCCGTGTCAGTAACTGTCCTCTCTAAGGTATGTATGCCTGGCCACTGTCTGTCGACTAACCATATGCCCTTAGACATTCGTCGCTGATGACGTCACTGTCAAGGGTCGATTTCGGAGATACAAAGTATGCAAGTACCCGTCTTCCTTGGGCGTAGTTACCCTGGTCGGCCTGTTCTTGGCCTGTCTAATGTATGCCCGGTCTGTCTGTAACGTTAAATAAGGTTAGTAACATCGACACTGGAGCAACCAAACGTGCCAGCAATGTGGGCACGGATGGCTCCCATCTGCATCATCCCCAGGGCCCGCTCGCGTTATTCGTGTGACAGTCGTCACATTTCTGTGGGGTTTTTCATCAGTGTGAGTGCCAGACATACCGTCCGTATCATTTATATACCCTTATTGCACGTGTCGTGTCAGCTGCCCAATCGTTGTGTTTGGACGATGTATTTGGAATTAAACTAGTTTGAACTTGTGTTTTTATTTTTTGTAATTTCTTTTTAAAGAGGTAAAGTTTCTTTTGACCGTCAGTTTATATCAATCTTTGGAGTTTAAACTTTTATCGGCTAAATTTATGCTGACATATTTGATATTAAAAGAATAATTTTTAATTATTTTCAAAGTGTTTTTTCAAATATATAAAAACATCTACTTCATGATAGCACTATATCAATTCAAAGAGATATATTGAAACGTTAAAACGATATAAAAGGAGAAACATATTTTATGGTATCTGTTGATACGTTCATGTCATTTAAGAACATATTTTTAAATGCTATCACTTTTCCCAGATGCAGAAATATAATCGCATACTGATGTTTGGGCCCAAACTTGTTGCTGAAGAAAGTGAATAATTAACTTCAAGCACAGCACAGATGTAAACTGACGAAGTAACGTTACAAAAAATAAATTTGGACACGTTGGGTCCAAACCCTGAGAAGTGTTACAAAATGGTTGAGAATCAATCGCCCAAACACAACCAAAACAATTTGTTGAGAAACGAACGTGCTACAGTACCCAGATCAATGGAACTTGAGTTTGAAGTGGATCTTTGGCTGCACTTACAGCACGCCAGCCTACAAAAATATGGGTATAAAATAATTAATCAAACCGACAAAACCCTTTCCATATCCAATAGAAATCTTTGCATAAAGCAGATTCGATTGTACAATTCCGACTATATCATGAGAATGTGTTATGAATTACTATCAAATAGTAATGATACCAGGTGTTCGCAAAAAAGGTGAATGTATCTTGCTCCACCAGTCGCACCCGTCACAAACACATGCAAAGGTAAGTCAATGAAGGAAATATTTACTGTGCATTCACATCCAAACCATCTGACAGTAGCATGCTAAGATCAACCCTATATCAGAAAGATACAGGCTGTTGGTATGATACGCCAACGAGCAACGCATGATCACGTTGCAAGGAGTTTTGGCTGTAGACGAATGATAGCCTTATTTTTAGCTCTTCTCTTTTTCTGTCAATGCATTGAAATATCCTCTTCTCTTTTTCTGTCAATGCATTGAAATATCCTCTTCTCTGTGCCTGTCCATGCATTTAAGTCTCCACTTCTCTGTTCCTGTCCGTGCATTGAAGTCTCCTCTTCTCTTTTTTCTGTCCATGCATTGACGTCTCCTCTTCTCTTTGCATGTCCATGTAATGAAGTTTCCTCTCCTCTTTGCCTGTCCATGTATTGAAGTCTCCTCTTCTCTGTGCCTGTCCATGCATTGAAGTTTCCTCTCCTCTTTGCCTGTCCATGCATTGACGTCTCCTTTTCTCTTTGCCTGTCCAAGCATTGACATCTCCTCTCCTCTTTGCCTGTCCATGCAATGTATTATCCTCTTCTCTTTGCCTGTCCATGCATTGAAGTCTCCTCTTCTCTTTGCCTGTCCATGCATTGAAGTCTCCTCTTCTCTGTGCCTGTCCATGCATTGACGTCTCCTCTTCTCTTTGCATGTCCATGCAATGAAGTTTCCTCTCCTCTTTGCCTGTCCATGCATTGAAGTCTCCTCTTCTCTGTGCCTGTCCATGCATTGAAGTTTCCTCTCCTCTTTGCCTGTCCATGCATTGACGTCTCCTCTCCTCTTTGCCTGTCCATGCATTGACGTCTCCTTTTCTCTTTGCCTGTCCAAGCATTGAAGTCTCCTCTCCTCTTTGCCTGTCCATGCATTGAAGTCTCATCTTCTCTGTGCCTGTCCAAGCATTGACGTCTCCTCTTCTCTTTACATGTCCAAGCATTGACGTCTCCTCTTCCCTTTGCATGTCCAAGCATTGAAGTCCTCTCTTCTCTTTGCATGTCCAAGCATTGAAGTCATACATATAAATCATTTCATGGGGCAGCACTCCATGGTCTTACTCCCATCGAAAATATATAAGATATCAATATATTCGCTGTGATGCATTGAATGTGTGCTTACCTTTACTTTGCGTGGGCAGACAAGTTACATGGTTAACAATTGATTTACAGGTTGTTGCCAGCGGTTACTACATTCAACATGGTTTCCTTGAGAGTCGACCTGGAGGAGCTTCTTCAGTGCCCAATCTGCTTTGACAAACTTGCACAGCCTAAACTGTTGCCCTGCTCTCATAGGTTTTGTAAAGAGTGTATTCGACGCGAAATGGAAAGATCAGCCACTACTGGTCCTCAATCTAGCTTTCCCTGTCCACTGTGTAAACGGACAGCGTATCTGGGGATGGGAAAATCCAGCGAGGAATGGATAAATCACTTTGAGACTGATCACCTGCTTGAGGACATCCTGGAGAAGTCCGAGCCTTCGGGTGAGACCTTGTGTGCTGATCATCATAGGACAATCATGGTTGTGTGTCATGACTGTCAGATACTAGGATGTGTTACATGTGCCTTGAATCACCACAGACAATGTTGTAACGTCGGGTACATCGAGACTGAACTGGTTCGAATCAAATCCGAGCTGTCAAAACAACTTGAAACATTTGAAAGAGCAATCAAAGAAAAACTGCAAATACGAAATCATTTACATATAATCTCTGAGAATGTAGAGTATCTAACCCAACAACGTTTAATGTTCATCAGGTCAAATATTCGCCATCAGACATACAAAGACGCATGTGATGAGGTGAAGCAGGAGCACAGGAGGAGAATGGATGCAATCCAGCACGTGTCTAACATGTTGACCGATGTTGATGTTACGAGAGAGATGGCAAGTATCAACGAAGCACTACAAACATCGACGCTTGATTTGCTGCAAGGACAGAAATTACTGAAAGACAACAGAATGTTGTTAGAAGAAACTGTGGTTCGTGCTTTGAGGAAGATACCAGGTCTTTTTGCTTTACTGGAACACGTGGAAGAAGATTTCATCACTGGGGAGCATCAAGTGCATCTGGACTACACAGAAGAAATACAAAATATGGAGAATCTTCTGAATGATGTGTTAGCTGAGCATAAGAATCAATTGAAGAAAGGTTTAAATACTGAATATTGTCCAATGATAGAATTACGCAAACCTATCAAATCCACAGCTGAACATAACAAGGGACAGGCACAAAGTCAGAAAGGAAAACACGGGACTAAGATGAAGAAAGGGAAGAGGAAGGAAGAGTACACAGGGAAAATGTACCCACCAGATTCTTTTGTTGGTGTGAAGGCAGTTCCTATCATGAGAACATATGTGAACAATAACAAACAAGCTTACAAATCAATGATCGTGTTTATAATCATATGTATCATTTTATATTTGGGGATATTATTCCTGTTTGGGAAAGTTCGATAACGTTCTCATGAGCAATGATCGACGTCAGCGGCGCACGACGCCACGTTGTCTACCAAGTCACCAAGGATGACCCACGATCCATTAAAGTAAGAGCCACTGTGTAAGATGGTAAACTCCCTGTAAAAGTCATGCAATAGGGTAGCACTGCCGATCATGTTGACAAGCAACGTGTCATATTTAGTAAAACCTCGTGTAGAAAAAAAATTGCTTTCAGACAGTAAAACAAGAAACAAGGGTCCCACAACAACGCTACCTCAAAGTATGGTGGAAATGTATTCATTGCATGAGTGAGTAAGTAAGTTGGTGTCAACGCCGCTTTTAACAGTATTCCAGTTATGTCACAGCGTGTCAGCTTAATGTGGGAGAAAATCCCGAAGTGATGCAGGTCTGAGACGTTTACCACTTCGGTGAAACCCACAATCATAGGTTTCTGACGTGCCCAAGGGACGCCACTCTGTACATCGAATTGCTTAGACGACTGGGCCACCTGTGCCCCCAAATGCATGTGAGATATTGTGAACTGTGATAAGTTACTGATTATCTCCACTGTAATAATTCTACTTTTTCTTACTCTTTTATATCGTTTACAAACTGACTGTCCCTACCTCCATCTGGAACAATTTTTGGGGCGGTCAGCGGAGTCAAACTATGGAATAACTTCTTGGGGATTCACTAAGATGTCAGGAAGAATTGCTTTCAGGCAGTCACAAAGCGACCCGGGAGTATTTGGTGAAATTTATTCTAACTACCATGACCCCTGTTTTTTCAAACTTCAATGTTCAGTTACGTGTTAACCTCCATTAACTAATGTGCCATTACCTATGGTTGTATCAAACCTGTATCAAAGACGTCCTAGTACTTCAAAACTTCATCAACAAGCCTTGAGGTTTGGGAGTACCATTAACAAGTAACTGAACTAAACATGCCCCAAAATATGTGCAAACTGATCAAATTGAGCGGTCAACAACAAACTGTGGTTTGCATTGGAACCTCAAAAACAGGTAAAGAATATAAACAAACGAATGTGAGAAGTGATGCATTTGACAATTATCACTTCTCCAACTTTCGAGTCGAGAGAACTGCTACTACTACTCATGGCACTTGGCAGATGACAGAGAGGAGAAAGTGCTTGTTTGTTAAAACGGATTCATAGAAACGAATTTAAAAGAATACTAAATTTTAATGACACGTTAATGAAAATTGTACATCAGCTCATGATAGTTTAATGACGGCTTTGTAAACCCATTTTGATGTTGTTATTCTCAAATGACATAATGAGGATCTAATGAACCATAAAGGTTTAAGTCACTCATTAGTTAATGAAGGTAGGGGGCACGGGTGGCCCTTCGTCTAAGGCGCCGCGATTTGCTGTGCAGAGTTGCATCCCTTGGGCACGCCAGAAATCTATGATTGTGGGTTCGAATCCTGGTTCGCCCCGATTATGTTTCTAGGTTTGTCAGCACCATACCCGTGTTCGTGGGTTTCACCGAAGTGGTAAACGTCTCAGACCTGCATCACTTCGGGCTTTCCTCCCACATTAAGCTGACACGCCGCGATATAACTGTAATACTGTTAAAAGCGGCGTTAAACCCAACTCACTCACTCACTAATGAAGGTAGGATGCTACCTGGTCCAATAATCCAGGATCAAGATGGTGGCAGCAACCTGAGACTGCCTACGTCGAGAGGATGGAAGCGATCTACCACAAACAAATGTGATACATGGGCATATATCAGAACGGAACTGAAACAAATCGATACAGAAAAAAAACAATTCCGCCTATGTAGCACCAAACGGATCCCCAGATGGTATGGGTGTTTTATAAAAGGACTTTCATGCAAGGGCCGGTGACCTTGGTGTCGTTGTACAAAACGACTTCAGCGCTACGACTGTCGTCAGTCTATGGTGTGGGAGTTACGATCACCTTAGCGCTAAGATCGCTTTGTACAACGCCACCCTGGCAGATTATTTGCAAGATGTCCACACCGCTCATGATCGTACTAACGTGGATACTATCCTAAATATCCATAGAGAACATTTTATACATTTTCTCATTGATATACATTTGTGTATGTTTAATGATCGTTTTAACTCGAATGATTTTGGATATATTAGCCCAACTGAGGCCTCAGTAGTTGATTATGTTTTAGTATCTCACAAACAACTGTCTCTGTACATAAACCTAAAAGTTGTAACAATGTCATCCCTTATTGCCACATATGGTGCGAATGTCGCTTTTTCGATCCCAACTCCTTATTGTCCCATACGCTAGACTTATCTATGTTCGGCCATGTGACACAAGTAACCAAGCCAGAAGCTATTCTGATCGATGGAAGCGGTAAAAAGTTGTCAGCTGAACCTCTCAAGTGTTATGGTTGAAATTACTATTAATACGACTCAGCAGTGTTTATCTGACACTCAGAACGTTGCTAAAGCCTATTCTGGATATGTTGATATTGTGTACAGAGTAATGGACGAAAGAGTTCCTGGTTTTTCACCACAAGGATCTTCAGGAAACCATATTGGAAGGTAGAGCACCAAAGGCAGTGATAGTACCTGTAAGTGAGAAGAACTTGGTTTAAGTGTAATGATGGGAATGACACAAGATCCAGACTGAAACAACTGTATTGTGTAGAGAGATAGACCTTCGAGAGAATGAACAAAAAATACAAGAGAAAGGTGGGGGAACAGAATAATCAACTCGAGAAGTTAAATGGAAGCCAAAACGCATTTCTGGAAATTAAATAAATATCAAACAACAGAAAAGTCTATGTTCCAGAAGAAGTGGTCTTTGGTGAGGGTACAGTTGTGAACGATGTTCAGTCTGCTTCAGATAGATGCCCACCAAGCCCAGGTGATGCCCGAGCTTGAACAGTGGAGTCACAGTCACGCGTTGCAGCAGCCCAATGAAGATACCACACTTTATAGCTCTATCTTGTGTGATGATGTCTCAAGAGCCGTACAGAAAGCTAAATTAGAAACGCCGGAGGTATAAACAAATTAATAGCGGAAGAATTGAAAATGATAGCTGTATTGGTCAATCTCATTCAAATCAGATCTTAGTTCTCGCTACCGCTAAATTCCAGAATGTTCTTTTGTTCAGGTTTCAAAATTTTAATCAAGAATTTATCAAAATATTTTTTGAAGCGAAGTCGCCAGTTTGAATTAAGTGCCATAAAGCACGAGAAAGGCTGCCTTCTGATTGGCTAATGTCGATTTCTTGTCAGTCATTGGTCGGTCAAAGTTCGCGCAAGGTCGGTCTGACGTGACCCGTAATGGGGTGTTCTTAGATCTTTGTTCAGCGGTAGCGAGAACTAAGATCTGATTTTAATGAGATTACTGTATAGGCATTCTGTTCAGGATTTTTAATTTTTGTTTTGCCGAAGGTACACTCCAAGGAGTTGGACACAACCTGGTATTGATCATATTCCTAAACATGAGAAAGACCTACGGCAACCCTTATCTTATCGTTGGATATCCCTTATATCTGTTCCATGTGAATAGTTTTTGACATTTTAAATCAATGAATGTCAAAGTGGCTGGATTCAAGCAATATGATCTCTGATACCCAAAAACGGATTCAGGAAAGGAAGAAGTTGTTTCTACGTTTCTATATTCTTTGTACACGATTTTAAAAAGAAGACTGGTTTCACAAACTTTACATTTTACTAGCTTTTACTAACTTGAAATAGCCTGCGAAAACGTGGATAGAAATGTTGACGTTGCGGAATGCTGAAATAGCGGGGAAATGTTTGCTCACTGTATCAGAACATTACAAGATCTGTTAAAATAATTGATCACCTGACACTCGTTGTTAATGTCAATACCGAAGCAAGGCCATATCATGTCTCCAACTGTGGTCTCCTTATATATAAACGACTTGACCCATGAGATGGATAATTTGAATGTGGGTGTTAAAGATATATTTCGTTTTAATTGCCATAAAAGAAGAAAAACTTCAGAAAAGCTCAAGGTTGTTTTCAACTGATAAAATAAATGGCGAGTGTCAGACACCCGGATGTACAAGATGTGCCTGGTCTAATCATGACAAAGGACATCGATAGCGAAGCCACGCAAATGAAATACCAGAAGTGAAACACGAAAGAGAATAAGAAAATCTGAAGATAAAATATGTTCAGTTTATTATCATTGTGTCATAAAACTAGTATTGTCACGTTCTACTGACCCACCACTCCCTGGCTTTAATTGTCCAATTTCCGACACCCTTCGGCAAAGTCCGGCTGTCGTCATTGGACAATGTCATTGCTTTCTTTGTTAGAGAATTAACGACCCTTATATTTTGTTCTCTAATGGCACACTCTTACCATGTATTGACTTGATGTATGTCATATCATATATGTTAGCTGCCTTATTCATGTGTTGAAAATATTCTTGTGGCTATTTTCAAACATTAGGGAAAGATACATGTAGTTTCAGATATTTCCAATGTATTTATGATCGTTTTTGTCTCCTCAATAATTGTACACAGCTTGTTGTAAATCTTTAGTGATAAGGTTGGTTAGCTTATGCTCAGCGCTTCTTTTTGATACTTACATCTTCCGTATGGATATTGTAGTTAGTTTGCTATTCGTGTTTTTCCATGTCAGGAAACACCCTTTGGCTGAGCGTCCCAGACTAGTGGATTCTCCGGCATGCCAGGAGAGATTGTTCTCGCCGAGGTCCGCGCACAAGTATAAAGCCTTTGTCAGGATCTTGTGTCTTTGATCTCTCCAGGCTTTGTTAGTTCGTTTATAGGTCGACTCGCGACTGGGTGGTGATTTGAAACTCAGGTTTCGTTATTATGTGATTACAGGGCACTTTTGATCTTGTACTGACTAATTATGGTTGCATTGAGCTGAACTAATCAGCTAGGGTTTTTCATACTCCGTTTTTCTAGTAATCCGAGGATAACTAATCTTCCCGTGATTGTCTTGGTTTTAGGGAATTGTTATTATATAATTCCTTGCTCGGTCAAAGTGGCTGCGTCTTTAGTCTGTTAGACTAAATTGATATTCAGACGTTCTCGTCTAATTTATTGTCCAAGTGACTTAGTTTATGGATAGGCCCTCTGTGTTTATTTCACTATTTAACCTAGCCTACATTATTCACTCATTTGAGTGTTGAGTTAATTAACTCAGGTGTTAATTGGTCGCAGCCGACTTAATTGACTGCCTATGTATCTTGCCTGTATATTGCCTGTATCTTGTCAAAGTGTTTTAGCTACTCTCCAATTATTACTGTAATACAGTTGTTCAGCTAAGCCGCTTGTGTATTTGCTCTGATTTATTAAAACAGTGATCAGTGATCACTGTCAGATTAGATTGGGTTTTTGATCTTCTATTTTGTCACCTAGTGATACAATTAGTTGCTATAAATAAACTTGTGAACCTATTACCACGTTTTCATTACTTGTTATTCTTGTTTAATGACACCCCCTGACCCTTGGAGCACAGCTCCGTGACATTATCAACCATACATTTCAAGACAGTCAAACTACAACAGACGTCTAAGGATACTTGACATATGCTTGCCTAAATCAACAATAGTATGAGAGGTTGTGCTTTTGCATAGAAGAAGAGGCAGTGACCTTCCACCAAACATTTCTTTAATTGTTCTTAAATATATTCTCACATCATTACAAATCAAGGGGATTATAATGTGCCAAATTCCCTCATTGAATGTTCATGGCGCTAAGTTATTATTACCCTGGTCAGTGGATCTGTGCACTTTCATTCTCAGCTCCTTGTGAAATATACACCCAAAGCTCACATCAAGGCGCTAGGTGCGTTAACAGTCACATTGCCATCTAATCATACCGGATATCCGTTCACTGCTGGGTAAACAAAGGCATATCTCGAACAAAGTAAGTTACCTACGGAAACACCACATGTGTCACATGTCCTTCGGTGTAGGGCAGGTAAAGCCCTGTAGACTCTCAGGAGTCATGCTGCCTAACACTGTCACCGCTGCCAATGGAAGAACTCCCATCTTCATCTTCCACATGGTTGGGACATAGACACAGATGTTCTTGTAGCGGTGTGACTGGTAATGGCTAACGTCCAGACACCATACAGGGGCTGGTCAAAAAGTTCTAAGCCTGACTATCTTTCTAATATAATATAACATATATATAATATAACAAAGTGAACTAGTCAATGCAGTGTGTTGTTTGAGAAGTTCACTGGAAGTGCATATGGTCTGTAGAGTCAGTTTGTATATTAGTGACAGCCTGTTGAACGTGAAAGGGATCCAAATGGATACAAAAATGGAAAAGAAAGAGTACCGAGCTGTCATAAGGTTTTTAACTTTAGTGAGTGAGTAAGTAAGGTTTTACGCCGCTTTTAGCAATATTCCAGCAATATCAAGGCGGGGGTACGCCAGAAATGGGCTTCACACATTGTACCTCTGTCGGGATTCGAACCCGAGTCTTCGGCGTGACGAGCGAACGCTTTAACCATTAGGGTAGAGAAAAGTACTCCCCTAGAAATTCATGACTGCATGTTACAAGTGTATGGGGATAAGTGCCCTAAGATATCTGCTCGTTAGGTGCCAACGTTTCTAAATTCTGATCTTAAGGGAAAAAGAACTGACATTGCCAGAGAACATTTAGAGCTAATTGAGGGGTATTTCATTAAATTAAAAAAGAGATAAGTAACATGGGTTTACCAATATGATCCAGAGTCAAAACGTCAATCCATGGAATGACACCTATCCAATTCTCTGGCAACCAAGTCTTCAAGATCAGTGAAGAAAGTCATGGCCACTGTATTCTGGGATGTAAAGGGTGTGATCCTTGTTGATTACTTAGAAAGTCAAAAGACGATTACCGGTGCCTACTACGCTGATTTCCTTCATCGCCTGAGGGATTCTATAAAAGAAAAGCGGCGAGGAATGCTGACTGCTGGAGTTGTACTCCTTCGTGACAATGCCTGTTCTCACACCTCTCGACTTGCAGAGGCGATGTGGGTTCGAATAGCTTCCTCACACTCACTACTCGCCACACCAGGCACCAAGTGATTTCCATCTGTTTCCTAAACTGAAAGAACATCTTCGTGGAAAGCGCTAATACGACAACGATGACCTCAAAGCTGCCGTGAATGTTTGTTTCAGGGTGGCTTCAGAAAACCTCTTCCTTACTGGAATTGAAAAGCTTCACTATCGATATGAGAAGTGTATTGAAAAGCAGGGAGATTGTGTTCAAAAATAAAATTAAAAACACTTTCACAATAGATGGTTTTGTTTGTTCGGCTTAGAACTTTTTGACCAGTCCTCGTACTAGAGTTAAACGTGGACACAGGTGTTGTACCTTGTAGTGTAGTGACATACCAAAAATACATACAGATAGAGGTAAACTTCTACATCGAAATTTCGCGAGTAACGTTCTTTGAAACGAGACATAGACATTAATGCATAAACTTCAGGCTGTTTTTCCTTGAAAGTTCTACATGTTCGTAGGTTGTTTCCATTAAAATTTGTTTTTGTCATTCCACTGTTGACCAAACCAGGAATAAATCATCAAGGATAGCCAGCCTTTGTTTAACCCTGTCCATAGAAATGGATTGTTGCAGTAGGACATGACGTTCTTTCTATGTCGTGAATTGTTGCAGTAGTACATGACGTTCTTTCGGTAAAGTGTTGCAGTAGGACACGACGTTCTTTCGGTAAAGTGTTGCAGTAGTACATGACGTTCTTTCGGTAAAGTGTTGCAGTAGGACATGACGTTCTTTCGGTAAAGTGTTGCAGTAGTACATGACGTTCTTTCGCTAAATTGTTGCAGTAGGACATGGCCTTCCTTCGTTTGGTGGATAGGACCGACCCAGTAATTGAGACTTCATAAACCGACAGTAACCATGTTTTATCCTGAATAACAACACTAGACAGTGGGGTTGTGCAATACTAATGGTTTCATGGAGTTCCATTCTCCACATCAACGTAATGTTTCAGATATTTCAACTACTGCAGTTGCTGCAAATTTAGATAGGGGCCTCCTGATGTCTGCTTTCTACATCATTTGGGGGATGTGTGCGAGGTTGTTTAAAACATATTGTGCCAGTTAAATTTCGTTTATTTCAAATGAATGTACATGGATCGTATGGACGGAATATTGACAATATACATGAAGTGATGCATAACCGTCCTGGAGCGTTGTGTGAGACTTTCTATGAGTTATGTTTAAATCAAATTTGAATATAATACGTTAACTGTTTCTAGATTCTCGACAGTTACAATTATTGTTTGTTGTAATCCCTTATTGGCAGAGAGATAAGTGTTCAGATACACAAATGCCACCTGATCTCAAATGCAATCTCGAGAAACCAAAAGTCCAGAATATATCTAACGTGAAACATCTGACGGCTTGTATTTAAGAAAGACCCCGAAAAATCGAAAAAAAGACTAAAAAGAGCAACACCACCAGCAATAAACTGCTATGGAAACGAAAAGCATGTATTTTAAAAATAAATAAATATATATACGCTTGTATCAATCTACTTCGTGAATATCTGAATTTGTCTCATCGGCAAAGTGAATTTTGCCAGACTATTTCAAAAAGGGATTAACGACGCATTTGCATATCGTTTTCAAAACCGCGCCAATTTCTGATCACTCTTCACGGTATATTTCATTATATTGGTAGAGAAGTTCATGTATTACAATTACAAATGTTAAATATGGAATCCATATCCCTATTCCATGGTTTCAATGACTGGCTTCGTCCACTACATACCATGCAGCAGTTTACACGTGTACGTCTTGCACGCCGACGCTGTCACACACGTGTACTGAAAGGCTGAACACGTCTCGAGCGTGAAGCAGTAGTAAGCACATCCTGTTTCCGAGGCGACATCTATCTGAGCGATCTGAAGACTCGCCGAGGGAAGGGCAGATAACACTGGTGGTACAAGTCTCTCGAACAGTTGAAAGTGGTCGCTGACGGCAGAATGGTTTGCGATGGAACTGGTTGAGTATACCATCGATAGAGCTGTGGAATAAAAATACAGTTTTCTAATAATCAATTATTGTTTTAAAAACCATTATCGACATGTCGTGAAAAGGGAGATTACATCTTTATGTAAGTACAATGGATGGCTATCAAAGGCACCACAAAGGGAGTGTCAGAGTTGCGTCTCTTAGCTGCCAGGATCTGCAAAATGTTGTTTCGAATAAATTCCTCCTGATCACGATTCTTGGGCTATCTGCACAGTGTTGTTTGTTTGTTTGTTGTTTAACGCCGCACTCAGCAATATTCCAGCTATATGACGGCGGTCTGTAATTAATCGAGTCTGGACCAGACAATCCAGTGATTGACATCATGTGCATCGATCTACGCAAACGGCATAGGATAACATGCATCAACCAAGTCAGCGAGCCTGACTACCCGATCCCGTATGGGTTGCTAAAGACATTGCATTCTAAAGTTTGTTTGCAAACAAATAGGTCAATTCGGAAAAGACAACATTTTGGGATGACGTACCTTTCTTACAGACATAGGCCTGGGCATCCATGGTGCAGTCGAGAAAGGCATAGTTGCCTATTCCTTTTAACGCGCCGCACTTGTTGGTCTTGTTCCCGGAACTTCCTGTCAATAGAAAGCCACAATGTAACGAACTGCTGTAACAACGGTGTACACAGTGATACAACGGATCGCTCCGTATATAGAACCTACAATTTGAATTTTGAGCCTTCTTTCATGGGAAATAGAAATAAGGTATGTAATCTATTATCGAGCAAGTGAGTCCAGTGAAACGCTAGCCACAATGACCTGGTGGATAGAGGTCAGACGAGTGGAAAAGCAGGTCTGACAGTATCGCTGCAGTGTTTGGGTTTCCACTGGTACCGCGACTGTAGTGACGGAATCGGGAACAGGTGAGGTGAGGTGAGGTGAGGTGAGGTGAGGTGAGGTGAGGTGAGGTGAAACCGGATGTAACGTCGCGTCCAAGACCATTGCACTTATATAGCACGTGTGTGTGTGTGTGTGTGTGTGTGTGTGTGTGTGTGTGTACTAGATCCGGACTGCTGCCGCTTCATAGTGCAAGCTCACTGAGATACCACACCGCAGTTTAACATGAATGCCCCACTCAGACACAGTATACTGACTCCGAACCGACCAGTCCTTGGTTCAGGTCCTTAATGCCAAGCGCCAGGCAGGGTAACAACAAGTACCATCTTTCAACGTCTTTTGGTATGACGCGGCCGGGGATCGAACCTCGGACCTTCCGCTCTCCGGGCGGACGCGCTACCACGAGACCACGGAGGGAGTTAAATCGGGAACAGCACCGACCTCCTACAGTCGTTGGTGTAGCCAACACCGTAATTGCAGCAGTAACGTCACGTTCATACGTTTATACTAACTCTTAAAGCTGATCATGCCACTTCGATAAAACGGAACAGATGTAAGATTTGTTGACATTATGTGAAAATCCTTTAACGAGCGAAACACTCCAATTTGTTATGAATGTAAATGTGTGTTTGTCATACTATTACTGGCCCAGTGGGTAAAGCCCTTTCTCCTGACGTTGAAGAATCCGGGTTCAGTTCCTCACAAGGACAGTGTTGCTGACAGCGACATAGGAATCTAGTCGTCCATTCACTTCACTGCTTTTTCTTGACATAATTATCTTCCATTGTAATTATAGATAAATAATTGTCACCTGTTCTGCGTTACGTTGTTGTTGTTGTTGTTGTTGTTGTTGTTGTTTTTGTAAAACGAACTGTTTTATTTACAAGCTTACTTTTAACGCCCTGGAAAAACACCAGTTTACATCAGCTAGTGTACGACTTGTGCGATATGCACAACATACAGCGTCTACAGAATCAAAACGAGTTATTGATTTCCTGGCTGGGAGTCGAAACGTTTGCACAGGAGTTAAATACATATACATAACTTGTATCGGCACGACTCGGACAATTACAAATATAGAGACATCCCCATGATGGCCCCAGTGTGACATGTCGGATAGCTGCAGATATTCATAACGTTGAGCAGAGTCCAGAAGAGCATCCGTCAGTGCGTCCTCCTGGCAGGGGTCAAACAGGGACTGGCCCCTCCCTGCCCTTACCACAGCATCGATTCGTCTCCATCCCCGGAAACTAATGTAATCACGCTCTGATGCTCGCGGGTAATCAGAGCCGCCTGCATGGACGACTACCACATCGGTGATGATCGTCATTATTCAGGTTTACATCCACTATAGAAGATATTTGCCATTTTATTACGTCAAAATGGAAACAAAATACAAACTTCACAATCATAATAATCCCTGTCTGTGCAAAGTTGGCACTGGATTCGTTTAAAATGGGTAGAATTGATACCCTTCCAGTTCGTCGCGTTTGCTCGTGCGAGAACCATACCCAGAGCTCCAGATAAGCTGCGTATCTGCGTAAAATACGCATACAAAATGCAGAAATATGCAGTAAAATAAAATCCAAGCGTATCAAATACGCAACGGACATTACAGATTCGCTACAAAAATAAAAACTGTGCGTATCATCAAAATATGGTGAAGTAACCCTGCGTATTCGATTAGCAAATCAGCAACTTATTTTGAAATTATAAACGGACATTTCGTCAACCTTGCCAAACTCCACGATGACAGTTAGTTTGCTGGGACTAGATGAATAGTGTTTTTAAATATTTAACTTAAATACCCACATGTGTAAAAACTAGTGGGTAACAGAAATTTGAAAACCCAGATAGAACTACTGATACCCAATGATTTTAAAATGCATGGGTAAAATACCCACAACACCAAAAGCTTATCTGGAGCTCTGCATCCCCTTGCATATTCGCCTTTGAAACATACCCAGGAGACATTGGTACGTGAGTGAGTGAGTTTAGTGGGACAGTATTTCATGTATCAAGTGGCATGTCAACTTGATTTGGGTAACGCCTGAAGTGATACGCCACGGTGCTGTTCATCCAAGAAACATGAGGGTGAATCTGGGATTCAAACCCACGTTCATAGCTTTAGTACACCTAATGGACTTCACTCGATCTGCGCAGTGAAATGAGGCCTTAGACGACGAGGCCGTCCTGGTCTCACTGTGACCCCCGGGTCCGGTAGCTTGCTCCTTAAGCATGGGTGCCGGGGCATGGCGTAGTAGTGCGGGCCATGTGCATGTAATCATCACAGTGGAGGAAAAGGATCGAAGAATTGTACATTGTAGAAAGGTTGTTAGCAGCTAATCTAGGACTAGAACTCGGAATAATTATTTTCACATAACTTCCGTAGTATGCAGCATGACAATAGGATGTTGTACTAACGGTGCTGTATGACAATAGGATGTTGTACTGGTAGTGCAGTATGACAATAGGATGTTGTACTGATAGTGCAGTATGACAATAGGATGTTGTACTGATGTGGCTGTATGACAATAGGATTGTGTACTGATAGTGCAGTATGACAATAGGATGTTGTACTGGTGGTGCAGTATGACTATAGGATGTTGTACTGGTGGTGCCGTATGACAATAGGATGTTGTACTGGTGGTGCAGTATGACAATAGGATGTTATACTTATGGTGCAGTATGACAATAGGATGTTGTTCTGATGTGGCTGTATGACAATAGGATTGTGTACTGATAGTGCAGTATGACAATAGGATGTTGTACTGGTGGCGCCGTATGACAATAGGATGTTGTACTGGTGGTGCCGTATGACAATAGGATGTTGTACTGGTGGTGCCGTATGACAATAGGATGTTGTACTGGTGGTGCAGTATGACAATAGGATGTTGTAATGGTGGTGCAGTATGACAATAGGATGTTATACTTATGGTGCAGTATGGCAATAGGATGTTGTACTGGTGGTGCAGTATGACAATAGGATGTTGTACTGGTGGTGCAGTATGACAATAGGATGTTGTACTGATGTACCAGTATGACAATAGGATGTTGTACTGATTGTGGAGTATGACAATAGGATGTTGTACTGATGTAGCAGTATGACAATAGGATGTTGTACTGATGTAGCAGTATGACAATAGGAAGTTGTACTGATGGTGGAGTATGACAATAGGATGTTGTACTGATGGTGCAGTATGACAATAGGAAGTTGTACTGATGTGGCCGTATGACAATAGGATGTTGTACTGATGTAGCAGTATGACAATAGGATGTTGTTCTAGTGGTGCAGTATGACAATAGGGTGTTGTACTGATGTGGCAGTATGACAATAGGATGATGTACTGGTGGTGCAGTATGACAATAGGAAGTTGTACTGATGGTGGAGTATGACAATAGGATGTTGTACTGATGGTGCAGTATGACAATAGGAAGTTGTACTGATGTGGCCGTATGACAATAGGATGTTGTACTGATGTAGCAGTATGACAATAGGATGTTGTTCTAGTGGTGCAGTATGACAATAGGGTGTTGTACTGATGTGGCAGTATGACAATAGGATGATGTACTGGTAGTGCAGTATGACAATAGGGAGTTGTACTGATCCGGCAGTATGACGATAGGATGTTGTACGGAAGATGCATGCAGAGATATCTCTCGTGACAGATAGACAACATCCGAGCCCCACCCCCCAAGGATATTAAAAAGTCGGCCCCTTACGAATCTATATATTCCTCAGATATACTACTGTCTCCATGGCAACACAAAAGCATGTGATAGCGCTGTACCTGACACTGCTGTAGCAAGGTGGCCTGGTTTATAGTCGGAGCCGTCTCGCCACGCCCAGTCGTTGTCTGCCGTGCCGTAGAGGCCGTGCCACACAAAGCCGTCCCGGGGGGCCTCAGGCTGAAAACATGGCACCACTTTACTAAAGTTATAATATTCACGCAAAACCAAATGATGAAACAAATAAGCACAAGTTACACAAAGTTACTTCAATGAGGTTATACATCATTTAATGAAGATATTCTTAATATAACATTCAATAGATATGATGTCGATTACGTCTCAGAAAATATGCCAAATGATGTTATTGAATATAGTTACGTAATAATAATTTCGTTTAAATTCTGGAGGCAAATGAACAAATGCATGCAGAGTATTTCTCCCTTTCTATTCAAAGCATTTAAAAAAAATAACAAATGAATAAAAATCACTTGAATAGAATAATTAAGCACAATTCTAATCGATACAAAGTATTGCTTGACTCTGGTAACGGTATTTCACACTGGCCACCCTCTTGTTTGTGCTCTAAATGCTATTATACATAACAAGTCACCGTAGAATATAAGACAATAGATTAAGGGTACCGGCACATTAACGTGCCGGTTGGCGCTATGCACATTAAGCTAAGTATATCGTCAACTTTAATGTGACGGAAATCAGAACCTATTTTCCTTTCTGATGAGAGCATTTACTGAAATAACTCAGTGTAATGTTTTCCTAACGACGGGCTGGTATAGTTTATTGCCGTAGCAAACATGACGTCATTTCCTCGACCGAGGCTCCCCTGTTGGAGCGGGGAATTGAACGGGGTTGGACCTATCGCAACTACCGGCAGCGTCAAGGGTGTTATATGTATATTACACGGCGACGACAGACCAGCCCCACAATGCAGACTGCACACGGAATTACCGAGTTGATATTGAACATTCGTCTGTATTGATTTCTGTACTGAAGCATGAACGATAAATCGTCGACACATAACGATTTGATAGAGAATTCTGAAAATGAATATATCGTGGAACTTCATTAATCTCTATATACCTCGGACAATAAATAATACTTTAATAATACATCGGAATATTGACACATCCGGGGACGGGAATGGATGACTTTATACTACACGCACGGTACATGTGAGTGAGTGAGTGAGTGAGTGAGTGAGTGAGTGAGTGAGTGAGTGCGTGAGTGAGTGAGTGAGTGAGTGAGTGAGTGAGTGAGTGAGAGTGAGTGAGTGAGTGAGTGAGTGAGTGAGTGAGTGAGTGAGTGAGTGAGTGAAAGAAGTGATATCCCAGCTATATCGTTCAACCAATAACAAAGATATAAACATGAGAAAGTTATAAATACATAAAACCATACATACATATAAATACATGATTAACTTCGTCACGTTCCAGTCAATGTACTGTCATATCTCAAGTCAGTTGAGCACTGCCCCATCCTAAAGTTCACTGACCACGGTGTGGGTCAGCCAGATCGATACATCGATGTACACGGCGGAGAACGCTTCCCCAAAGTGACTGAGATTCAGAAACAAATCATCCTTCATTGGTCCCTCCCGTCTGTTTAGGGGGACTCCTGCCCGCAAGTAGGGCAATTGGCCAACTAATCGTTCTTGCAGGGGCCACTAAATAACTTACAGAGAATCTTAATGGTGGCTGTATCTGAATGAAACATGACGGACTAAACTCAATCTTCATTCGGTTTTGACAGAGAAGCAGTGACAATTATTGTTTAAGACACAGGATGCATATACCACTAGTGTGTACATGTCATCATACCGGCGAGGTATTCGCTTACTTTATGTAGTTTGTTTGTTGTTTAACGCCGCACTCAGCAATATTCAAGCTCTATGACGGCGGTCTGTAAATAATCGAGTCTGGACCAGACAATCCAGTGAGCATCGCAATTAGGATACGATGACATGCATCAACCAAGTCAGTGAGCCTGACCATCCGACCCTGTTAGTCTTCTTTATGTAGTATGTATTTGTGTAATGCACGTGCATTAAGGGGGCATGTTGTCGTTTTGACGATGTCCTACTTGTATACGATGTACGTTATGAGTTTGAAATACAAACTGAACAAAGACATGTAGACTAATTATTTACATGTTCTATGTAACATTTGTCTAGAAATCATCTGGACAACATGTCTCCACAAACCTTTCCACTTTTTATGGTTAACACAAACTTGGCCACTGCGTCAACTAATTGATTATTGATTATGTTCCTACTTTTATATGAGTGAGTGAGTATGATTTTACGCCGCTTTTAGCAATATTCCATCAATATCACGGCGGGGGACACCAGAAATGGGCTTCACACATTATACCCATGTCGGGATTCTAACCCGGGTCTTCGGAGTGACGAGCGAACGCTTTAACCACTAGGCTACCCGACCGCCTTACTTTTACATGATGTACGTCATGAGTTTGTAATACAAACTGAGTAAAGGCATACAGGCAAACTATCTACATGTTATATTCAACATTTGTCTAAAAATCAACAGCATGAACAACATGTCTTCACAAACCATTCCACGTTTTATGGTCAACACAAACAAATTCTGCGTCAACTAAATGATTATCCATTAGTTCCAATTGCGAGACTTGCACCGGGCTGGAGGTACATGTTCCAGCTAACTAACGGAGTACATATATGGCATGTCCAGACGTACGTATGTGATGGACACTGGCGTACGAGAATCCTTTACACTGAATAGCCTACAACCTACACGCTACTTCAGAGTCGGCCACGAGTGCTAGCCCCGTAGTCCCAGTCAATACGTGCAGTCAATATGTCTAACACGGGAACAATTTGAGAACATCACGTCTAAAGAGGAAATCCCTTTTCTCAACCAAATCACCCGATGTCCGGCTATCGTGACGTGGGCATCAAGCCCTAAGCCGTGGCTGGGTAAACATTCATCTGCAGCAGGCATAGTACCGGCCTTTGGGGGGGGACTTTAAACCGAGTTTATTTATAGAGTGTCTCTGCATTTGAAATACGACATAAATACAAGTAGAATGTCATGTTATTAGTTCTTTCCTTCACCAACTTACGCTTCAAGCACAAAATATCCTAAGTATTCTTGAATACTCACAGTTTTTCAAGACCTGTCCTTAACAACTTTTCGATATTGAAATTGTCTTTGAAACTGCTCATCACTTCACACTGCAGGCTACTCTAAACCTAAACCTGCTGATGTGAAGACAGACATGGAAGAGAGAGACACAGCTGAGTTGAGCGCGTCAGCTTCATACTGTGATCCCTGTATAAACAGTCCAGGTAGTGCATGTCTACACAAGGACCAAGGACAATGGATGACTTCATGCCAAGCAGTACCCAGCCCCGGGTACATCTCACACGTAGTGAGTACATAAAACCAGTTCCTTTGATTATGATTACAACAACGATTGGTAGAAAATAGTTTGATCAAAGGTAAAATTATATTCGATTCGATTAAATCTTTTATGGTAAACATAATCTCTAATTCGACAGGAGGTCTAAGACAAGCATGATGTCAAATGGCCTAACCTACTCAAATCTCTGGAATTAATTTTCTTTGCAGAGGAGACATTTTCGAAGTAGTTCACTGGTCCCGCTGCTGTACCCATGGGACATTTCCTTCATGAGATGAGGATGAGAAATGACCATCTACATCTCCATGCATTGGCAGGGGTTATCAGTGTTCAAATGGCATTTCCGACCTTATCTTGATATATCGCCTTATAGCCCATGGTATGAGGATATATATACTTGACACATAATTTTCACAGCTGTTTTGCCATTTAAACTAAATGGAACCAGCTTCGGCGGAAAATCAAGACTGGTTATTCCCTTGCGCTGATGGTTCATATTAACAACCTAACCAAAAGACTTGCTACTGAGGTCATCCTTAGGGGAAAACACATCTCTGAGGAGCCCCAGACTCTTTTTAGGGCCACGTAAGCGGCCTTAACCTTCTCTCAAAACGAGTGTTAAATGTAGAGCAGGACGCGATCAGGCACTCCTTGATCCGTGTCTTGTGTGTAAATTTACAATGCTACCAGAGTGTAGCGTCTTTCTTGTAAATTTACAAACCTCCCAGAGTGTAGCGTCTTTCTTGTAAATTTACAATGCTACCAGAGTGTAGCGTCTTTCTTGTAAATTTACAGTGCTACAAGAGTTTAGCGTCTTTCTTGTAAATTTACAATGCTACCAGAGTGTAGCGTCTTTCTTGTAAATTTACAGTGCTACAAGAGTTTAGCGTCTTTCTTGTAAATTTACAATGCTACCAGAGTTTAGCGTCTTTCTTGTACATTTTACAATGCTACCAGAGTTTAGCGTCTTTCTTGTATATTAACAGTGCTACCAGAGTTTAGCGTCTTTCTTGTAAATTTACAATGCTACCAGAGCGTATGTTTCTATGACTTTGTAGAGTCTATTTTGTTTGGACATATTCCTTCATTTAAAAGAGAGGAATAGGAATATCCTTAAAGGTTTTCCCGTTTTAATTGACAAGTTCAACCAGAGACGCATCCACCTTTAATGGACAAAACAATGTGTGTTACAAGTTACTACAGCTCATGACGGAGTAGGGAATATTTCCAGTGATTTGTTACTTCGCTGAATGTACTCTCCCAAGTGTAGTCGGGGTTCAGATCAATACACAAGTTAAATCTGTTTTCAAATCACGAAATGGAGGTTAATATTTCTGTGTAGTCAGTTCATTAAGTTACAACAGTCCATTAAATGCCTTTACAATCCTGACTTCCAGGATATTATTAGAAATGATTTGTCTTCTGCCACTCAGCTTACAAACCCGATCCCTCACGTCAGAAGGGAAGACTGATATACGAGCACATACATGCTCTGGTGGAGGACATCATATATGTGACGTTAAAGGAATGAGTCTGACTTTAAACGAGGTTTGGCACAGCGCTGTTTCTATTGATTACCGACGAGGAATACCCCAACGGCAAAACAACAGTCTGTGAGACCAATATCATTTCCAGATAGACGTGCTGGTCGCACTCACTGGAGTTCACTTTTCAATACATTTTATTCCAATATTTGTTTACAGGCGTTCGAAAAATATAATTACAGATTGGGCATTATCATTAGTGAAACCGCTTTTAGTTGTTTAAACAGTCATGAATTTATAGAAATATGTTTTCATTTGGGTAAATACAGATTCAGATAGGACACAGGGTAAGATACACGTTGCTCGACCAAACGGCATAATCTCCTTGTCATTCCTTCGTATTTTGATACGTCTAGTTTACTTGGTACACTGTACACCCATAGGCCGTTTGCTTTTGACATCTTTTAGCTGAAGACATTTAGTGATTAGTGCTAAGAGATACTGTAAAAGACTATAGCTTGACATATGTAGTTTAATGCACGCATTAGCTGATAAGATGTTTTATCTTTACATTTGCAATCTTGTGTAATACATTAAAGGGTCCAGTATTTTAACTTAACGTCACCAGCTTCTTGCTGCACGCGGGACAGTTATTTTCTTGAAGGCTGACATAAGCACTCGCTTACACTGTGTCTCTCCGCACTCACCTTCCACAGTTTGTCCACTACAAAGTCCCTCTCCTCCCCGCCCCACAGACTGGCCAGGTGAGCGTCCTTCGCACTGCATGCGCTGATGGCAGGTGTCACATCCCCCTCCAGAACCCCGAAGTAGTAGCAGTGGTGGTGCAAGGCCACCCAGCCATCGTCGCAGCCGTCGTGGGACAAACCTGATTCACGAATAACACCATATGTCTTTTATACACAGGAAATTCTCGATTTGCACAAGTCACAAGATGATATCCTTTTACTGCTGTCACCATTAACACTGTTGTAGATTACGACGCCATGGGGTTAGAATTGATTTCATGTTTATCCGATGTTTCGGTACACTGGTATGGAATATGGGTACGCGAAAACGTTGCGATTCACAACATGGCGATCCAAGGTTCATGGTGTCTGATTATGAATAATAAAAATGTATTATACGACCAGCATAAACAATCATTACATGTTGTCATATGCATTGGTATCCCATTTAGTCCTTTTACAAATTACACGTTCCTTTGAGCAGATAGTACATTAAATGCACGTTTTTCAACAAACCACTTCTCTTCATAGAAAACTTCAAAGAAAAGCAAAATACATTCAAAAACGATTTAGAAAACAAATAAAAACGTTGCTTCTTAAAATTATAATTTACACTTGAATATACCCATGTTTGATGACGTACCAGGATTAACTGCTAAAGGAAGTAGATTTTCATTTTCACATTTCAAATTAAGAAATATCAATACCCAACAAATGAAAATAAATTGATCTAAAAATAAATCTTCCCATGACAAGCAGGACTGATCAAAACCATTTAATCAATACCAAGTGGCTGTTTCCCCTGTTTGTCCCCTGTTCAGCCAAAGCCTAATGTAATTGGACCAAAGGTCTTGCACACGTGATGGACAGGGAAACGCATCTTTTTAAACTGATTGCAAGAGGACCCCTTCCGTCTTGCCCTTCATTTTCTTTCATCCCGTTGTGTGGTGTTCGTCTAAATTGACACAGCCCTCTGTGTTCTTCTTCACATATGGTCGTAATGGCACGTGGTCGGGGAAATGATTTCATGAGGCCTATTTCAAGACTCCCAGAAACAATAAATAATCTCCTTCAGCCAAGATAACGAGACTGAATGCTAACAATCGCCCCCTTTACGACAGTGTTCTTGATTACAACATCAAACCTCCATTAATAAACGGGATTACACAAAATATCACTTTTGTTTTGAAAGGAGATAACTTTGACTCGCCTGTTTCTAGATGCTTCTGGATAAGAGTTCTGTTCTTCAAACAAGGTCGTTAAGATTTGTCTTTTCATAAAATCCAATATAACATCTTTTTGAAACGACGGATTAATAGAAATGGTTATCTCAGAATAGATGATGTGATAGCAATGTAACACATATACACACATTACCATGTAAACATGACTAAGAACGCATGACCACAGGCTGTGTCGTGGGGATACGTTGTTCAGTGAGGGTTTGTTTTACAACAATAATATAGCGCTATTATGTCGTTAGAGCCGGTTCTCCCAACATTATCATAAAATCACCTAATACAGAACCCAGACAATCCATGAACGTCGATAAAGCTTCCAAAATAACTTAAAAATATACAATTGTCGATCAATACAGATATTGGTAGTTCCAATAGTTTAAAGTAAGTCAATCTGCGCCATGAATGTACGATAAGAAACACTGTAAACTGAAGCCTTGTTTGCCAGTTGGGAATACTGGACTCATAATGATGGAACTTACCCGCTGCAATAGTCCACAAGAGAGAGATGAAAACTAGCGTTCCCTCCCCCATCCTTACAAACATCTCCCTCCGCAGGGAACTCGCCCTACACTCGACCCCCAACAGAACTCCTTACCGCCTGTATCATTGCGCGGCGGCGTGCCATCAAAACTCACAGATCGATACAAACACGCCCGTTCCTTCGTCCACACTTCATATCGTTCACCCCGCTATACAGACAAACATTCTGACTTCGCCAATATTTACGAATCTAATTCTGTGACGTCCGCGCATTGGATTTTCACTTTAAAACGTCTTTAGTTAGAAGATAGAGTATTATTTGAAGGAATGCTTATTAAAGGCAGTGAAATTTATTTCACGTCAGAAGCAGTTTCCTTGCCTGAGTTGACACCCGTCGGTATGCTGGCTTCGATTCTCCATAAAGACCGCCACAGGTTCCGTTGCCAATGCCATTTCTTCTTGAAGACTTGGCGATCAACATTCAGTTGAAGTCCTTTGATTTCAGCCACTGTATAATGACCCCGTGACAAGCACGCCGCACAATTACCAAGGATTCACTACGTGACCTGCCTGTGTAAATGTTCCGCTGAAATCGTCATCAAAAGATACGGCATTCTGCGGTATTTAAGATAATGGACAAAGACAGCAGCCTCCCTGACTCCCACGGCTCTTTTTCTCTAATCCCCCTGCCTCGTCAACGCAGCGTCTGAGTTAATGCCAGAGACATCATGTTGGCATAACCATTCTCAGTTAAAGACATTTGTGAATATGAAATTTACTCCGCTGAACTATGCATGCTAACAGATGGCCTTAATAGGGAGGTTACGTGGTACCTTCTTTGTTGCTTACATAGATTCAATGGGTTGATGTCAAGTGATAAGTTTAATATCATAAGAAATTTGGCTATGCACATTTATAAGTCTATGCCATTAAGGACAAGACTGCTGTTGTAAACTTCAAGTACAGTAATGGCTGATGTACAACTGCTGTGACATGGGCCGATGGCCTACGTGGCCTTGCTGAATAAACAACGAAGATGATGGTCTGGGTGAGTGAGTGAGTGAGTGAGTGGGGTTTCACACTACTTTGAACATTATTTCAGTAAGAGCACATCGTGCCAGTTTAACGTGGGAGGAAAGCCCCGAGCTAATGGGAATCGAACCCACTGTCCTCGGATCCTGGCATGCCTAAGGGACACAACTTTGTCCACCAACTTGCGCGTTTTAATACAGCGGTCATTTGGCCCTCAAATAAACGAGCGAGTTGATATTTCATGTTACCAAGGCATCTTTTTAGGCACACTTTCAATGGGATGGCGTAGTGGTCAGAATGTGCGCTTGTCGGGATAATGCATCAGTCCAACTCCTTAACGGAACACAAGCCATCTTGGCACTACGGCAGTGGCGTATGTTGCTTAACAATGTCGGCTAGTCGTGGCGCTGAAATGACTTTCAGGAACGAAGAACAGTACAATGCTTTAACACTTCTAGAAGCGGTGTGTGGGGAAATGCATGTCAGATGCATATACATTTCGGGTAGACCTTAGTTTAACATCTATGTCTCTTGTCTCATGCGTTACCAGGTGATTTCCCAACTGTAACGCTGAGGTGAACCCAGAAATAGGTTCGCACAGAACTAAGTTGAGAAATCAGTAAGTGACCACACAAAATCTATAAAAAAAATCGATGGCAAGCTAATGGGTCAGATACGAGGAAGCAGCGGTATGTAACAGGCTCTAGAATTAATGTTAGTGTACTCATGAATGTTCAGAATATTGCCACTGCTGATTGTCTTGAAATGGGCCTGTCTTGAACGAGAAACGTACTTCTCGAAGAGGATAAAAACAAGTCACGTCGAAAATGGTCTCAAATATATCTGTGCTCTTCTTGTGTAGTTACAGCCAGACTTCATGAAACTGACCCAACCCGAAACTTCTCCAACGATCACGCCTGCCATTGCCATGCATCATCATCATCATCGTCATCATCATTTACTCCTTTTGGAGAGGGTATGAGTAAGAATAATACAGTTTTGGACAGCAGTAAAATAAGTACAACAAGGTAAGAAGTGTTAGTGAACTAGGGCGACAAGACATAAATATGAAACATGAAACACTTTAAGGATGCATACATTTGTTAGGCTTTATGTAACCTTGCGTTAAGGAATACAGGTTGTTTCCTGCGTGGTATCTCATAATGGTAAGTTCTCGGCGTGTGAGGGACTGTTGGGTGGCCACGTGTAGAAAGTGTGGCATACATTGTGACGTGTTGTGTGGCTATATGTATTTGGCTACTGGTAGACATATATAGTGGGATTTAGCAACTGTTCCTGCAATGGCAACAATCATCTACTATACATAAGTAGTAACATTTGCCCCAACTAGTATCCGACAGTACCAGATATTATCTGTTCGCTGACTCCCAGTTGTGTCGTTCCAACAGCTGTGTGACTTAAATGATATTATAATGACACGCCGTGATTTTACCGAAATATTGTTAATATATATCACCAAAATACCAAAATACTGCTAGTCAGATATAAAATACAGCCTGGAAGTGTGAATGTCAATAAATAAATAATATGTGTATACAACACAAATATGCTGGACGGAAAGTTCGTGCTCGGACATCTGCGCTGAATTTGAACTAGCCCGTATAGTGTATATTCGTACGTGCATTTTGTGCGATTTGATCGCTGCAGCCAGTACATTCGTAATGTACGTGCTGAAAATTAAAGACCATATTCCGATATATGTTTTTTGTTAGAATTAACGCACAAGCTTAATATTTGCATTGCAGGATTGAATTAGTCGTCATAAGGATGTATTGCACTGTATCCGTTTGCTTTTCATCAGAGCAATCATAGGACATTTTACCTGGGCATTTACCATATCTTTAGTCCAGGTCGGCTGTTTATCTATAATCTTCGATTACTGCATAGTTGTAATCCGATCACAGAAAGTACGTGTGTGTGTGTGTTGTTTAACGCCGCACTCAGCAATATTTCACCTAAATGACGGCGGTCAGTAAACAATCGAGTCTGGACCAGACAGTCCAGTAATTGATATCATGAGCATCGATCTACGCAATTGGGATACGATGACATGCATCAACCAAGTCAGCGGGCCTGACCAACCAGCCCGTTAGTAGCCTCTTAAGACAAGCATAGTCGCCTATTACTGCAAGCATGGGTCGCTGAAGACCTATTCTAACACTGATCTTCACGGGTCGGACACTATGTTAGTAACCTATGTAAGAATGTGAGTAAATTGTCCATTCCTTACAGAATTATTTTGTTGAGACAAAAGTGTGACGTCATATCTTTATGGTAATACAAGAGTAAGCGAGTGAGTTGGATATACCGCCGCTTTGGACAGTATTCTAGTTATATCACGGCGTGTCAGCTAAATGTGTGAGGAAATTCAATACAAGACGATACCCTGAAAGCAGTGTAGCAACAACTGGGTACCCGGTAGGGAAACAAGGGAGGGATCAGTTTGAATTCGCGGTAAATAAATGGCCAACCATTTCATATTTGGGGAGAAAAAATATGCTTCGGATTGTTGAAACTTTTTTGTCTACCACAAAAATCATATTGTTGCAAGATGCCTTTAATTTTGTTTATTTAGTCTCATAGTTTTAATTTGGTTTTGCATCTAGCTATAGCTGAAAACCATCTAGTCTCCATACAAAACCTAGGCTCCACTAGAATAGGTCGCTCCCTTACCTTCTACTCCAAGGCCATATGGCCACTTCTCCTACTGCATGTCTTATACGACATTGCCACTATAAATGGCTGAGTACCGGCCAAAAATAGCGTTATGGCTGAGACGGTGTACTTAAAACATTCGAGTTCATGGTGAATGATTGATCATGATAAAAGCTCAGGTATATTAGAGTATGAGCGTGTGGATAGGGTTATACTTTTGGGGGTAATAGTGCTAAGGAAGACTCACAACATAACATCAGCACATTGACTTTGGTGTGTCTCTGTATCAAGACAGGAAGCGACAAATCCAACTAAGACCACTAATGAATACAGGGGCACGTGGTCCCGTCGTCTAAGGCACCGCAAGAGTTGGTTCCCCTTGGCACGCCAGAAACCTAGGACCAAGGGTTCGAATCCCGACTCGTCCCGATTATGTTTCTCGGCTGGCCAGCACCACACCCGTGTTCGTGGGTTTCACCAAAGTGGTAAACGTCTGACCTCCATAATTTTCCTTTTGGGCCTTCCTCCCACATTAAGCTGACACACCTGATGTAACTGGAATACTGTTCAAAGTGGCGTCAAACCTAACTCACTCACTCACTGCACTAAAGAATACTGTGACAGCGAGGACATCTATGGGCGTGTCCTGACCTGAGGGTACCATGTGAAGGGGATTGTAGAATAGCAAACTTCCTCTGCAGTGAGAACCATTACTTGAACCCTTGATAAGAATATTACTGAAGACTATCACCAAAGACTCTGCGATCTTCTTCAGAGCACCATGCTTTACATCCGGTCAGATGATTGTCTTCATGCCTGAATCACGAACAGCGAAATCTCATTACTCGAACTATCGTAACTTGCTATGGGCGTGTAACATCACCAGAATCCGTCTTAAATTACACAACAAAGCATTGATGGATAACATGGGGCAACAGGTTTCCGTCAGGTTCCTGGGTTGTTAACTGTATGTTCCTTGACCACAATGCGCACAATGTTGGTTGGTTGGTTGGTTGGTTGGTTGTTTAACGCCGCACTCAGCAATATTCAAGCTATATGACGGCGGTCTGTAAATAATCGATTCTGGACCAGACAATCCAGTGATTGATATCATGAGCATCGATCCACGCAATTGGAATCGATGACATGCATCAACCAAGTCACCGAGCCTGACCATCCGATCCCGTTAGTCGCCTCTTACCACAAGCCTTTTACGGCAGGCATGGGTTGCTGAAGATCTATTCTACCCCGGATCTTCACGGGTCTCGTAATGAGGACTGAGTAGATGTTTAACGCTGCAGTCAGCAATACTTCAGCAATATCAAGGCTTACTGTCAAAAATCGTGCCAGGCAAACCAGTGACTGAAGCATGCACAACAAGCTATATCATCTGGACAAAATGACACACAGGC